CCAATATGATTACAAGGGTCTTTATAAGAGGGAAGAATCAGAGATGTGACCACAGAGCAAAGGCCCACAAATAAGGAATTTCCGTACTGTTGACTTGATACTTACCCTCTGTACAATATAATCAAACACTGCTAGGTGGGGCCATCCTAGCAGTTAGTTTGAACTCACTGTTCCAGCCTCTAGAATCTCAGAAGGCAAGGAAATGGATTCTTACTTAGAAGGAACACAATCTGTCCAATTCATTTTGCACTGCTCACTCTGTTGTTGTTAATGTGCCATCGAGTTGCTTGCGACTCATAGCGATCCTATGTACAACAGCCCTAAGCTCTCCTTTATCCTCTGCCAATCACACTGCCTCTGACACCCATCCCAATTACCTCAGTCACTGAATCATTCCACCTCATAGAGGGCCTTCCTCTCCTGCGCTGTCCCTCTTCAAGGACCGGTCCCTCCTCACAACATGTCCAAAGTAAGTTAGACGGAGCCTCAGAATCATTGCCTCCAAGGAGCAGCCTGGTTTAACCCTCTCCAGGTTAAATCTGTTTGTTTTCTTGGCAGTCCATGGTACATTCAATACTCTTCTCCAGCACCACAGCTCAAAGGCATCAGTTTTTCTTCTATCTTCTTTGGTCATTGTCCAACTCTCTGATGCATAACAAGTGATTGCGAAGACCATGGCCTGTATCAGACACACCTTAGTCTCCAGAGAGACACCATTGCTCTTCAGTACTTTGGAGAGGTCCCTAACAGCAGACTTTCTCATGGCAATATGTCTCTTCATTTCCTGGCTACTGGTGCTGTGAGTGTTGATCGTGGAGCCAAGCAAACAGAAGCTGTGAACAATCTCAATCTCTTCACCGTCCATCCTGATGCTGCCAATTGGTCCAGTGGTGAGAATCTTTGTCTTCTTGACATTGAGCCTCAATCCATATTGGAGGTTGCAGTCCTTGACCCTCTGCAGCAAGTGCTTCAGGTCCTCCTCAGTTTCAGCAAGCTGGGTTGTGTCATCTGCATAACGCAGACTGTTGATGAATCTTCCACGAATCCTGACACCATACTTCTCCTCGTAGAGCCCAGCCTCCCAGATAATCTGTTCTGCATACAAGTTGAAAAGGTATGGAGACAGGACACATCCCTGGCATACGCCCTTCCCAGTTTTGAACCATGCAGTGTTTCCTTGCTCTGTTCTGACGACTGCCTCTTGCAGTGGTTAAGTAATAAATCTGCATGTTAAGCCACTAATCTTGTGGTAATTTGTTACAGATGCACACACTCATTGTCAACAATTGAGAACATTGAACCAACTCATAGTCGACCCTCCACTGGGTTTTGAAGGCTGGAAATCACAAAGGAAGATTGATTCAAACCAACAGAGATAGATGGCCTTTGCGGTAGCAGCATTAACTCCATATGGACTAGTGACTACAGAGCTAATCTAACCTACTGGGTGGGCCCTCCAGACCTTAGGATTCTTGGCCTTATTACGAGTCTCTACCAGGGGTTCTGAGCTCTGGCTAGAGTGTAGCGCAGTACCGAGCTGCAAGTGAGCTCTGGTGGCTTATTAGAGAAGGAGCTGCAATGTTAATCCAGACACATGCGATTTTAATCCACCAGCTGCTCTGAGGGAGAAAGACAGGCAGTCTCCTCTTCTGTGATTTGCAGTTTCTGAAAACCTACTGCAGGATCAGCTATGAGTCAGTTCTGACTCTATGGTAATTAACAATCATCAAACAAAAGACCTTCTTGTTGCCTTTGATCCATACTCTATAATGTATGCTATGAATCTTCAAACTATTTACTTTGTGCTTTGATAAACATAATATTTGATGGCAAAGGATCTGAACTGTTCCTGAAATAAAACAGCCGATGAAAGCATAACCCCTGAAGTAGCGGTTTTAGTAAAATTCTGTTCTTTTCTTGTCCTATTTCTAAATACGGAATGATTTGGAGTTATACACAGAAATGTTGTTTTATCAAAATACACTGACATTACAATCTTATATGAGACACCTTTTACCTATAGTGCATAATAGTCAAGTAAAAAGCAGTGATTTCTAATTCCTTTAAATCTAGTGGTAGAGACAGTTCTTCAAGTCTTTTCCTCTGATAGACACAGTACCAACTGGGGAAAGTCGCAGGCTATTGAGGAATGACATTCGTCAACAGTGCTTAATGTCCACTTCTCTATACTTAGATTTTATATAAATCATTCTGGGTTGGAAACACAAGAAACTCACCAAAAAAGGAATTAACAGTTGAATGAGATAACTCAATTTTATTTACATTTCTTTCCATTCAGTTTATCACATGTACAGGCTGGGTGGTACATGAAGGCTATGCTAATTTTTGTCAAGCTGTGGATAGAAGACATCTTTGTTGAACTGGTCTGGATGATGACTGCTGATTTCCTTCGTATTGAAAAATTTCAAATGTCAAGCAGAAATTCTATAGTTTTACATACTTCCTACATTCTGGTCAAATAAACTTTGTCTTCTAGTTAGGCACGGGCACCTGAAAGTTTTCCAATATAGCCCTGGGATGTTTTTATTTGGGAAATCTAAACTGAGCTTAACTCCGAACTCTTGCTATTAATATGTACACTTCACTGCCGAAGACTGTGATTCAAATTTCTTATGAAATGCATTATAGGAAGGATGCTATCCTGTCAAGGGGGATACAAAACAACTGCATTCAGAGTATAGTATTAGTTTTAAAACTAGTATTAGCCTATGAGCACGTATGAATGAGAACAGCAATTTTATGTGTCCCTATCCTTGTCTGATTATATATTCTCCATACTAAAAATGATATAGTCTGTGTAGTTAACAATCTTGATTACATATTCTACATGCTTGTTGCTATCTGCAATCCAGTCAATTCTGATGCAGGAAGACCTCACCCCCATGTGTATACGGAAGCTTCTAACTTTAATTGCTCTGCCACCAAGAAAGTATATCTTGCTTTTATGGAAAAGAATAAAAATTCTCACACATACATATGGCTTGGTTTTTCTACCAGTCACAACTGTTGCCTTTTTAAAGTTTTCTTTTTTTAAAAGGTAAGTTTAATAGGATGTCTTTGATTAACAGTTTTCCCCAGGGAACAGGGGTGGAGATCCATAATCCATATATATTATACTGGGGATATCACTTTCTATTTCTGAAGCCTTAAAGGTTTTTTTACGTAAGACATCAGTATGATCCTACCTTACTGTTATTGAAAGGAGAATGAATCAAGTTTTTATTTGCTTTATAAAAACATTTTACTGGTTAATTTTGTTGTATTGTTTTAGGACTGTTATGGTGTACCATAGAGTTGGAACCAACCCATAGCTGACCTTCTGGTGGGTTTTCAGAGGCGGTAAATGGATGGGAGGAGACTGCTCATCCTTCTCCCACAGAGCAGCAGGTGGCCTCAGACCAAGTACCTTTGGGATTCTAGTACAGCTTCTTGCCACTAGGCCACCAGAGCTCCCATAGTCTTTAAGACTAAAAAAAAATTTTTTTTAAGAAAAAAAGGTAAAAAAAAAATCAAAACCAAACTCAACGGCCATCAAATTGGAACTGACTCATAACTGGCCCTCTACTGGGTTTCCAAGGCTATAAATTGTCCCTCTCTCTCCTGTGGAGCAGTTTGTGGATTTGAACTACAAAAGGTATGGCCGGAGCATTAGCAGCACAAGTCCTTATGGACTATGCCATCAGAGCACATTTTCTTTTAGTTAGTCCAATTTTTGTCAAAAGGATCCTAATGTTATGATGTACAGTTCAGTTTTTCTAATCTAAACAAACTGTCAAAACTCTGATATAAGTTACCTGGATGACTAAGTTGGAGGCATTTTAAATTTTTTGCTTTGTACCTAAAACTAGGTGGTTACATGAAGGTATCTAAATGGACTAATACTAATGATTCTGATTTGTAATCTAGGGAAGCTTGTTATATTTGATCTTTAAGTTTCTGAAGGCCAGAAAGGTGATAGTAGTATAAAATCTACTGCCAACTAAATCGGAGGTTCTATTCTGCTTCCTTTCATCCTTCCAGAACTGCTCTTAGAGCTGGTGTCATCATTAGTATGTTGTTGGTAATGATAAAAACAAAAACATATATAATAAAAATTGGTCTAGTCTTTGGAAGTTCCATATATATATATATACACACACACATGTATTTTTTTTTTCCTAAACAAAAAACTTGGTAGAGAAAAAAGACTAAACCAACATGTTCCTCAACTTTGAAGGTGAAAATAAGGATGGTTTCTACTTTAATATTTTAGAAACAGAAAGCTCATAAACAGATTTTCCTTTTTTTAACATCCACAAGACTATTATTAGTTCCATAAGGAACCGGGAGCTATAGATCCCAACTACATTGTAAAATTACTTTCAAGACTGTTGTCTCCATTTTTAGCTGCTCCAGTGTTAGGAAAGTAACTAAGTCAACCATCAATCAACCTCATTTCTCACTTACTCGGCTCATTTGCAATATTAACCATTAGTAGTAATTTAACAAAGGATTACTTAGCTGATTACACGTATGCAATGGGACCTTCAGAATCTGGCAGGTGATCATACTGTGTGCAGCAGATATTGGTGACCCATGTAACCTCCCCCTTTTCCCAATTCCCCATGAAAATTATGCATATTCCCGATCATGATAGCTCTTTCTATATGTATATATATACACACAAATATACATACATATATATGCACAACTACATTAAAAACATAGAAGAATCACACAAAATTACATGAAGAACCATAAAGATATCCTATCTTAGTACAGAGAAAATGCATGCTGAGAAAAGTCCAGTTAAGTACAGCCCTGTGAGATACATACATGATTTTATTTTACACTTGTATTTCCTGCAGGACAATAACATGTATCTTTCCCTACCTAGAGACAAAATACATTTTCTGAAAATTTGGACATTGCCCACTGCATTAAATTTAAATTAAAATATTCCCTATGTATATAGGCAGTAAAAATAAGCAAAAAACCTCACAACACATTCTTTTTTAATTTATCAAAAATGTATCCAAGGCAACATTATTAAAATGATTATACCAGAGTCCCTATTATAACATCAGGTCTAACAGGAAGGGCAGACGAGGGCAGGAAGGCTGCATCCATCCATGGTTTAGGTGCTCTTCTTCTCTTCCCCCAGTAGATTCACCGTGGCTTTTTTGGCTATTAGGAGGGAAAGAAAATCCATGAAACTGGTTTGCAGCACAGGCTCTTCTTATGTCTAATGTAGCTACTAGATAACAAGACTCGGGTGACTCATGTTCAAAGGACATACTAATGTCTGGGATCAAGATGCAGAGGATCTCCAAGAAGTGGTCACAGTACCGTACCTCATCAGAGCACAAATCCTGAATGTGAGTAAAGGAGCTCCTAATAGTCATCCAGGTTAATTAAACCCCTTGTACTGACAAGCATCACCTAAGCTATCTGCTACTGTTCTGCTTGAAACATAAAAACAAAGGAGATAACATGAAAAAGAAACAACTCTGATTAAGTACGGTAACAGATTCAAGGGAGTTCTGGTGGCCTAGTGAGTAAGGAGCTGTGCTGCCTACCCAGAGGCAGGCAGTTTGAATCCACCAACTGCTTCAAAGAGTAAAACGAATGATCTCCACCCTCACAATTTCTGGCCTCTGAAAACTCACAGACACTGAAGGGTCAGCTGTGAGTCAGTTCCAGCTAAACAGAAATGGGGTTCCCCCCCATTCTTCTTAAATTAAATGGTTTTTTAATTCATTATATTTTAAGGCAACATATGTATTTTTACAGCATATTCTTTCCATTTAATTTTCCCCCATTCATTCATTGTTGCACATTTTCCTCCCTGACCACCCCTCTCCCCAGTTCATTTTCTCTTTGAAGGAAAAAAACAAATTCTTTGTTATAAAATCCCGAGCCCATAGTCCACTTTAATATGCATTTCTTTTTCTGTAATCTTTTCATGAAAATAATACCTAATCCTATGTTCCTTTTAAACAGTTCTTTTCCTCATCTGTTTCAATGCAGTATGCATTACTTATCCACTCTTTTCTTAGGTTCCTCCAAACCCAATGTCAGTCCTGTTTTACAACAGTGGCACCATGCAGTATTTGTCCTTTTGTGACTGAGATATTTCACTCAGCATAATGTCCTCTAGGGTCACCCATTTTGAACAGTATTTCATGAGATCTTTGTTTTTCAATGCAGCATAGTATTCCATTGTGTAAATATACCACAGCTTCTCTATCCATTCTTTGTTGATGAGCACATGCCTGGGTTATTTTTTTAAAGACATACTCAACTTTGTAATAGTAACAACCACTGGAAAATACTGTGGTTACAAAGGTAAGGTGCATGCATGTTTGTCTACATGACTCAGGCACATCATGAGAAGGTACAGCTATAACCCTATGTAAATTCATTTCTGTGTGCTGCATGTATATCCAAAGGTACAGTAAGCACGCGGGGGCCCCGTTATATGTCCAAAGAACCCATGGACCTGATTAACTGTGCTCAAGGGCTTAGGACCATAGTCTTTGTGGGAGTAAGCTAGTCTATCAGTTGCCAAAGTTAATGTTCTACACACTAGTTTGGTGAGTAGCTCCTTGGGTTTCAAATGCTTTTGAGTAGCCATCGAAGATACAACTACTGGTACCTACCCATCCAAAGTGCAAATGAATGAAGGAAATCATGACTAAGTCCCCACGAGTCATAGCCTCTTTTAACCTGACACAGATAACTAGATGGTACCTGAATACCCTTCTACCAACCCTTCTAATCAGAGACACAAAAGACGGTCCTAGCTAATAAACAAAAAAACCCCTGGAACTCAAATTCATAAAAAAGGACCAGACTTATTAAGACTGATAAGACACTACAGGAACACCCCCCATAGGATATTGCCCTTAAGATATACTTTTAACCCAAAACTGAAAATCATCCCTGAAAATCAATTTTCAGTCCAACAATAATAGTCTATGTTATACAAGAAACAGTACCACCCCTCAGTAGTGTCCCTTAAATAACTACCTGAGACCTAACAGTAAATACTGATTTGAAGGCAAAGATGAAAAAAAAATGCAAGCTAGATCAATGGAAACAGGACTAGCGTAAGGGAAATACTGGGAATGTGGATAAAATGTAAAAAGTGTAACCAAAGTCACAGAAAAATTTGTAAAATTATTTTTAAATGATTTCACTGTATAACTGTGTAAACCTTCACCTGATACAGAACAAGCAAAGAAAAAATTAACACAAAAAGCCAAGCAGAAGCTCCTTAAGTGTTCCTCTGTACAACTAGGTCATTTTTGTTTGTATCTTGGTGCTTGCTTATTACGATTTCCCTGCATCTCAATGTGATGGCACTAGGTCTTTGTATACTTCCATGTTTTTGTGGTTCGTTTTTTAAAAAAAATCAGAAAGTCTTCATTTCTGGGATTGTCATTTCTAACAGCTGCTATCCTAGAAATGATGGTATGGGTAAATGAATATTGCTATTTAATTATGACACCATTTTTGTCTAATTTAGGAAGAGTTTACTGCTTGGCAGCCATAGGAAACAATACTAGTTTAATCAAGAAAATATTCTTACATCTGTAGGCAACTAATACCTTTCTTCCCTAACTGGCAAATGGCTGGTGACTGAGGAGTTTGTGAGATTCCACAAACTGCAGCTGTTTGTAATGGAGCCCAGAGTCTCGGTCACAAGAACCAAGAAGCCTGTCCTTGTCTTTCAATTGCCTGACAGCTGCTCTCCATTCACTCCATAAAATTCCTGTTAAGAAGAAACTGCAACCTGTCTCCTAAGTAGCCCTTTATAAAGTTTTACTCCCTAGTGAATCCAGAAGCTTTAAGAAAAATCTACAATGTATCAGCTTGTAAATTTCTCTGAACTTATTTTAGTTCTCACACTCCTGTTTCTATATAAAACTAGATCTGGAATATTACTATCTAAGAAAATAAATAGGCTAAGAAATGTATACCAATGCCAATCTTTCTCAAACTCTTCCAAAAAATAGGAGAAAAATGTTACAAATGAATTGTGTGAAGCTAGCATTGCCCTGATACCAAAGTAAGAGATACTACAGAAAACAAAAAATTAAATATATCCCTTATGAAATATCTATGCAAACCTCAAATCTAGAAAGATTAATCCAATAGTGTATTACAAGAATTATCATACTGTGACCAAGTGAGATTTATCCCAGGAATACAATAGTTCTGTATTAGAAAACAGATTAATGTTAGATACCACATCACTAAAACTATGAACCATATGATCATTTTATGGGACACAGAAAATCCAATACCTTTTCATGATAAAAACATTCACAAAGTTAACAGTAGGAGGGCATTTCCTCCACATGATAAAGGATATTATGAAAAAAACCCCACAGTTAATACCATACTGAATGTTGAAAACTTTCCTCTCTTACATCAGAAACAAAACTAAGAAGTTCCCTCTCATCACATGCTATTTAATATTATAGTGGAAGTTCTAGTTAAATAAATGAGGAAAAAGGAAGTAGGTGGAAAGTAAAAGAAAAATTGTCTCTATCTGTAGGTTAAATAATAATCCTAGATATAGAAAACTCAAAATAACCTACAAGAAAGCTATTAGAACCAATCTACTCTGCCCATTTTCAGTGTACTGACTCAACACACAAAAGTTAGTTGTGTTTATAAGTAGCAATGAATAATATTTTAAAAAAAGATTAAGAAAGCACTTCCATTTACAACTGCATCAAAAGGAATTAAATATTTAGGAATATATGTAATCTGGCTAGTGAAAAGCCACTGAAAATCTTCTATACTGCAAACTATACAACATTACAGAAAGCAATGAAAAGACCTAAACACTCTCTTCATATATAAGAAGACAGTATTATTAAGATGGCAATAATATCCAAGGTAATACTAATTCATTACAATCCCTTTCAAAATCCCAACAGTTGTGCAAAAATAAAAAAGCCAATCCTCCAATTCATATAGAATTCGGGGAAGTCCCGAACGGTCAATCTTTGATAGCTTATTTTATAACTACAGTTATCAAACTGAAACTGGCATAGAAATAAACATACAGACTCTTAAGGAATAGAATTGAGAGTACAAAATAAGCTCCTATTCCTATTCCTATGGTCAGGTCCATTCAGTGAATAAAGAATTATCTCTTCAACAATGGTACTGGGGCAGCTGGATTTCCATATGCAAAAGAATGAAGGTAAAGCCCTAACTCATGCCATCTAGAGAGATTAACCCAAAATAGATAAACCACCTAAATATGAAAGCTAAGATCATTAAATTTAAAGTATAATGTTAAGAGTAAATTTTCATAATCAGATTGTGACAATGTATTCTTTTTTATGCTACTTCTTATTATTATTAATTTTAATGAAAATTTACAGAGACTTTGGATTTCCATTCATTGTTGCAAATCTTCTCCCTCCCCCTCCAGTACACTCTTCCATTGTTTTACAATCCCTCCCACCAACTTCACTCCACTAAGCAACCTTCGTTCTGGACTCCTGTCATGACAGTAATACCAAATCACATATCCCTTTTAAACAGTTCTCTCCCTCCTCTGTTTCAGTGCAGTATACATTATTGAACCCATCTTACTCAGTCTCTCCCCAACCCCAAGGTCAGTCCTCTTTTACAACAGTCGCACCATGTAATATTTGTACTTTTGTCTGTGATATTTCACTCAGCATAATGTTCTCCAGAGTCACCCATTTTGAATAATATTCCATGAGTTCCTTGTTTTTCAAAGCAGCGTAGTATTCCATTGTGTGAATATACCACAGCTTCTCTATCCATTCGTTTGTTGATGGGCACTTAGGTTGTTTCCAACTCCTTGCTATTGTGAACAAAGCCACAATAAACATGGGTGTGCATATATCTGCTTGGATGTCAGTATGGTCTCTTTGGGGTATATTCCCAGTAGTGGAATTGCTGGGTCAAATGGTATCTCTATTTGCAACTTTCTGAGAAAGCACCATACTGCCTTCCACAGTGGTTGCACCATTATACACTTCCACCAACAGTGAATAAGGGTTCCAGTTTCTCCACAACCTCGAGAGCATTTGATGTTTGCTATTTTGTTAAATTTTGCTATTCTAACTGGGGTGAGATGATATCTCATAGTTGTTTTGGGCAACAGATTCTTAAGACATCAAAGTCCCAAGCAATAAAATAAGAAATTAATTGAACATTATAAATACTAACAACTTTTATGCATTCCAGGACCCTCTAAGAGAATGAAAAAATTCACAGACCGGCATGGTGCTTAAGCATCTGGCTGCTAACGAATGGTCTGTAGTTTAAAACGAGCCACCACTATGTGAGAGGAAAGTACAGCAGCCAACTTCCATAAAGACCCGAATCCTACAGGACACTACTCTGCTCTAGAGTCCATCAACTTGAAGACAAAGGGTTGAGTTTTGATGTCAAGTATAAGTCTAATCCCTAGAATAAAAAAAAAAATCTTACACATCAACAGTAAAAATGCAAATAACGCAATTTTTAAAATGAGTAAAGATCAGAATAGACATTTCTCCACAGTAAAGATACAAATGAAAATAAACACATGAAAAGATGCTCAACAAATCATTAAATGGAAAAAAGCCAGTTTTGGAAATAAATGTAGTGAGGGTTTCACAACATAGTGAATAGAAATAAAACTTAATATAAAATTATAATTTGACACATTTAAAAATTATCAAAGTGGCAACTTTTTGTTATTCATCTTTCACCACATAAAGATTAAAGAAAAAAAAGACAGCTATTCCAAAGTAGAAAGCTAGAAGTTAGAAAACACTTAGTATCTTAGAAAAATTTACTGAAGTAACCAGAGCTGTGTGCCCTGAATACGAGTTCAGTGAGGAAGATGCCTGTGAGGCAGAAATGGGACTTCTGAAAAGTGTCCTGGCAGGGATATGCTGTTTCCATAGTGATCAGGACCCCATATTTTAATTGCCACAGAACTCTAAAGGATGCTCAAGTCATGTCCATCTCCAACTTTTCTCCAGTTTCTAAAAACTTTTACACTACGCCCTCTGGAATTCAAGGCCCAGGAGCAGCAGCTGTCTGTCGTCCCTCATCTAGGTCTCCAAATGCTTCCTTACACAAATGTGGTTGTCTGGACAAATCTGGATACTGTTTTCCCTGAAGCTCTCTCAACTGGTGACTGCTTCCCCCCTCATGACCCTAGAACCACTGAGTCTGAAGGTCTGGTAGGTGTTGCCTTTGTTCTTCATGGGCCCTTTCAGAATCTCATGTCAACAAATCTTATCTCCACTGGACTTCTTTTTCCAGTCATCTCTGACCCTTGGCCTACTCTGCCAACTTACCCTTTCAACTCCTAATTTACAGTCACTCTCTAACATCACTCTTAATTTAAATGACTTTTCAATACTCTGACCTCTTTTGACTTTTGACTCCTCTCCATGAATCCTCACTCTATGTACAGCATCCTAACCCAGCCACTCACTCTCACAACCCGTGTCTTTTCTAGTAAGTGCGTATCCTGCTATGATCTCAACGGCAAGCATGTCATTCTCAGACTAGCATCTCTTATCTTTGTTCTTCACTCAACTTAGTTTTATAACCTATTCCTCCTACTCCTACCTGTTCTTCATTTCCCACATATTCTCATTTTGTTCTTTATCCAGTTTTAATCTCATGGTCAAACATTAAAACCACACTACCCCCATCAACAAACGAATGGATAGAAAAGCTGTGGTATACTTAAATAATGGAATACTATGCTGCATTGAAAAGCAAGGAACTCATGCAATATTATTCAAAATGGGTGACCCTGGAGGACATTATGCTGAGTAAAATATCCCAGTCACAAAAGGATAAATACTGCATGATGCCACTGTTGTAGAATGGGACTGACATCAGGGTTGGGGTAAGACTGAGAAAAACTGGATAGATTATGTATACTGCATTGAAACAGATGAGGGAGAGAACTGTTTAAAAGCAATATATGATAGGGTATTATGGTTATCACAAGAGTCCAGAATTAAGGTTGCATAGTGAAGTGTACTCGGGGGGGTGGGGGTGTGGGGGGGTGTGTGTGGGTGGACTGTATACCAATGAAGGAATTTTTCTTTTACTTTTCAAAGAGAGAAGCAAACTGGGGGGAATGGCTGGGGAGGGAGAAAAGTACAACAATGAATGAATGGAAATCCAAAATCTCTGTAAATGTTCATTAAAATTAATAAAAAAAAAAAAAGAGGAAAAAACCACCACCACACTCCCTAGTCCCACTCTCCCTTTGTAGTTTGTGCTTAACAAAATCACAACTCTGATAATACCTTACCTATTCAACAGCCTCATCAACACAGCTGGAGAAAAATAATCCCATAAGATTCATGAACATAGAATTCAAATGAGCTCTTAGTGCTGCCTGGCAATCACATGACACTGTCCTGGTCTATTCACTCTCACTGTCCTCATGGTCCTAGATGACAAGCCAACAAACTACAACCATACGTATTATGTGTTACCTTTGGTGCTTTAGTACCATAATGCACAAATGACTAGCTTCAAAAAGAAATGATGTCCTGTGAAACCTAAAATATTTTTATCACCTGGTCATTTATTGAACTCTCACTCTAGTCAACTATTTCAAACCTTCCCTTTGCATCTGTCACTTCCTTCATCTACACTCTCAGCTGACCCTTTCCAACTTTACTAGGAAGTCTGAAGCAATAAGAAAATCATCCCTATAAACTCTTATTTTATCTGCATTATCTTCTCTGTAATAGGGGAACAGATGCCTTTGAATTGTAGTGTTAAGAGTACTGAATAGCTACCTCTTGGACTGCCCAAAGAACAAACAAGTCTCTTGGAAGAAGTGCTACTAGGAGGCTTCTTAGAGACAAGGAGAGTGAAAATGGTCTCACATACTTTAGGCATGTTGTCAGGAGGGGCTAGTACTTGGAAAAGAAGACATCCTGCTAGGAAGGCTCGAAGGTCAAGGAAAGCAAAGATGACTCTCAACAAGATGAACTGACGCTGTGACTAACAATGGGCTGGGTCACATTAGAGACTGTGAGGATAGTAGAGGGAAAGAGCAAGGTTCAGATTTGTTGTTCACAGGATCGCTATGACTTGTAGTAGACTTGCTGGCACTGAATAACAATAGCATCCTTTCTACCAATAATCCCTGAGTTGCCTTCTATCAATACAAATTGTTGCCTGAACAAATGGGCAATGCCTCTATGTGTACACTATGATCCTGACTCCTCTGGCTTACTCAGTGATTCACTCTCTCACAGGCATCATTTTTAGTTCTTTAATGGTTCTATCCCATTAATTTCATGCATGCTTTGTTTCTTGCCTTTAAAAATTGGGTTGGTTGTTTTGGTTTTTTTTTCCTCTGGACCATGGACTGTTCTTCCACTTTAAAGGCCCATTCTTTTGCTTCCCTTTGCAGGAAATTTTCATGAATTCATTAAAGCCTTTCTCTCATATGTATTCCAGTCAGGATTCTGCTCGCACCATTTCATAAAATTGGTTTTGTCAAGATCACCAGTTCCAAGAGCCAGTCTTGGTCCTACATCACTCTGCTCCACTGGTGTCTTTTCATTTTCCCCAAGCTCTACACTGGAAGTTTCAAGAGCTCAGTACCCAGACTCCTTCCACTTTTCTACCTACATTCACTTTTTCAGAGATCTTATCCAGTCTCATATTTAATATAGCACTCAAAAGTTGATGGCTCTTAAATATATAAACCTCTAGACCTAACTCTTGGATAAATGGATGCTTATATCTAACTGGTTCTTTGATGCAAAAAGGAATCACTTAATAGGAATCTCAAATTTATAATGTTCTTTACCTTCCTCTTTAAGTCTGTTTTGCCCAGTCTCCTCCAACTTAATGGAAATTCTACTGTACATACTGGGTTGAAATCAACCCCTTAACAACAAAGGGATAAGTTGGGTTTTTTATCAAATTAACTGCAAGGGATTTATCTGGGTTTTTTGTTTGTTTGTTTTTTAATATGTCAAAAGAATGCTTAATTTGAAGACAAATAGTATAAGCACTAAGTTGAATAGATGTCTCTTGGAGAAGGTATCACCACAGAGTTCCTTAAACAAAGCTCTGTCTCACATATTTCGGACATGTTGCTACTAGGAGAGGAACATCATGCTAGGAAAAGTGGAGAGCCAGCCGGAAAAGATCCTCAACCAGATGGACTGACACAGTGACTGTAGCAACAGATCTGAGTATGTTGAGATTGTGAGGATGGCACAGGATGGATACAGTTCAGATCGCTTATTCAAAGGGTTGTTGTGGGTTGTACTTGACTCTACAGCACCTAGCAACAAGTAGTTAGGTTAATAACCTTGGCCTCTTTGATTCCTCTCATATTCAATACCTGTCACATAAGCAAAGCTTTTGGATTCTAACTTCAACTTATTGGATCCCAGTGCTACCACTATAAACATTTAATGTTTTATGAAAGAAGACTCTTGGAGAAAGTTAAGGACAACAGCTAAAATCTTTGCAAAGAAATTCTTGACTAGTTTTGGCAGTTAGCTGAGGAAAGCGAGTAAGAAAAGGAAGCCTGCAATGTGGGTCTCAGGTTACTCACTGCCATTAAGTAAGAACTGACTTCTAGCTAAATCCTCCCCTCCAGTGGGTTATGGAGGCTCTAAATCACATGAGAGATTGCCCATTTTCCTTCAATGCAAGTGCTGGTGGATTTGAACTGCTAGAGGCTTGACCCACCAGGGTTCAATCAAGGGCTAGTATCTCCTTTCATATACTGAACCAAGCCGAGTCTTACCTTCTTTAGTGATGGTTTCTGCAGTCTCTTTGGCTTTGTCTTTCAGATCCTTCATCACACTATCTACCTGGTTCTCATGCTTCAGGAAGAAAGGGCGGATGATGCGCCTGTAGAGCAGTTCCGCCCCATTGGAAGGGCTTGGAGCCATGCACCACAACAAGAAGCCACACTGCAAACAAGAATCAGCTTCATTAGTAGGAGCAGGAGAAAACTGGGCACAATGAGAGTGCACACTTCTACCACCACTCAAGGAGTAACAAATAAGGGGCCAGGATTAATTCCACACACAGGTTTTGGTCAAGGACTAGCTGAGCCTGAAAAACAAAGAAGGCAAAAGGCCCAGCAACTTCATTACTTACCTAAGTTGGATCACTTTTTATTAAGAGGCTTTTATTAATTGTAACTCTTAAAAAAATAAATTTTTAGAAGTATAGTATTTACCTACATGTGCAAAGCACTATGCAAATAAGGCTAAGATTTGTAAGGCTTGCTGTCAATAAGCTTATCTCGTAAGCAGGTCACATTTATTCATTCTGCTGTAGGAAAGATGTGACAATTCTTGAATTATTTCTTTATCTCAGGTTTTGATATATTTTTAGCCTTTAAGAATCTCTATAGTCACTACTAATTTTGCTTCACTCTGAACACAGACATTGTTCCTACTCTACTTTGCCATTGTTGTTGTTATGTGCCGTCGAGTCGTTTGCAACTCATAGCGACCCTATGTACAACAGCCCTAAAACCTGCACTATTCTGTGCCAATCGCATTGCCTCTGACACACCCATCCCGAATACCCCAGTCACTGAATCAATCCACCTCATAGAGGGTCTTCCCCTCCTGCACTGTCCCTCTACTCTACCCAGCATGATGTCCTTCTCTAAAGACCTGTCTCTCCTTACAACATGTCCAAAGAATGTCAGGCGAAGCCCCAGAATCCTTGCCTCCAAGGAGCAGCCTGGTTTAACCCTCTCTAGGCTGAATCTGTTTGTTTTCTTGGCAGTCCATGGTACACTCAATACTCTTCTCCAGCACCACACCTCAAAGGCTTCAATTCTCCTTCTGTCCTCCCTAGTCATTGTCTAACTCTCTGATGCATAACAAGTGATTGTCAAAACCATGCCCTGTATCAGGAACACCTTAGTCTCCAGAGAGACACCGTTGCTTTTGAGTACTTTGGAGAGGTCCCTAACAGCAGACTTTCCCATCGCAATAGTTTTTTTATTTCCTGGCTGCTGGTGCCAAGAGTGTTGACCGTGGAGCCAAGCAAACTGAAGCTGTGAACAATCTCAATCTCTTCGCCATCCATCCTGATGCTACCGATTGGTCCAGTGGTGAGAATCTTTGTCTTCTTGACATTGAGCCTCAGTCCATACTGAAGGCTGCAGTCCTTGACCCTCTGCAGCAAGTGCATGAGATCCTCCTCAGTTTCAGTGAGCAGGGTTGTGTCATCTGCATAACGCAGATTGTTGACCATTAAATTAAAAAAAAAAAAAGATAATTCTATTTTTAACATAAAGGCAGGAATTGCAATACTATATGTAATCTTTTTCTATTTATTTAAATCATAAATAACAACTAAGCCCTTTAAGTCATTCAAGCAGTTTAATTCTCCATAAAGAGCAAAAAAGGAGAATATTCCAAGTTATATGCTTAATTTTCCTAGAATGTCCAATAAACAATATGCTAAAAATGTCTTACTCTATAACTGTATCATGCTTTACACAGACAAGTTTATAAAAAGGCTAGTCAATTTCTGGGATTCTATATCTTTATTTCCTACAAATTCTTCTTTAAATTTTTTAAATTTTATTATTGTGTGTTCCATCAAATTAGATCTGACTGATACAGGAGGAGACTGTCCCTCCTTCTCCAGCAGAGCATCTGGTGGATTCAAATCACACACCTCTGGGATTGCCATGCAGCTCTTTGCAAATTCTTCTTTAAGTAATAACTTTTCAACTTCTTATGCCTTCGACAGAGGCTTGGACCTTGTTATTCCAAATAAATGAATTTATTAAAGTAATTAAGAACCTGCCATGCCTAAGATCTCATTTTAAAAAACTGTTCTAGAGATGCACAGCTGTTACAGGAATAACACTAAAATAGAGAAATTGGGTATAAAATGCACATTTCTGTGCCCAGAAACTCAATTCATCAGTACTCGGAAATTAGTATTATGCTTTCATCTTTATTAACTCAAAATACCAAGAATAGCATGCAAGATAATAAAGTACTAAAAATAAATTTATTAAAGAAAGGTAAAACTTAAATATAGAAAACTATAAAGCATAATTGAAAGAAACTAGGCAAGAGCTGAATAAATGAAAGGATATAACATGCTCCTAGATTGGAAAGCTCAATATAATTAAGATTTCAGTACTTTCTCCAAAGGAATGTATTAAATTCAACACAACACCCACCAAAACTCCAGAAACCTTCTTTGTATTAGGAAGCCACAGAACCCTCAATTATCAAAGCAATATTGAAAAAGAAGAGTAAAATAGGGCTTGTATTTCATTATTCCTAAATAATGAAATACAACTAATATAACCAAACATTGTTCATGCAAAATGTTATTTAGAAAACACCATAAAATACTTTTTTTTAGGTTTTTATTAATTTCAACAAACATTTACAGAGATTTTGGATTTCCATTCATTGTTACACTCATAAAATACTCTTAAGTAGAATCAGTGAATATGTAACAGCCAAAAAGATTATCTCCTTGCATTCCTCACAATTTGGTAATTTCTGGATTAGAGAAATAAAAGAAACTGCTTTCCAAATGCTGAACACTAACCTAAGAGCAATACATCGCCACAATCTCAAAGATTTGATTTTAAACCAGCGATTCTTTTATCCTGCTGTAACTAATCTTTTAATTTCTTTACTGTTGGTTCCAAGGGTAATGATTATGAATCCAAGACAAACATAATCATTGACAACTTCAATCTTTTCTCCATCTATTGTGATGCTGCCTATTGGCCCAGTGGTGAGGACTTTTATTTTCTTACTGTTGAGATGCAATCCATGTTCAAGGCTGTAGTAGTGGATCTTCTGTAGCAATTGTTTCAACCTCTCAGCAAGCAAGGTTTTGTCATCTGCATAATGCAGCTTGTTGATAAGTCTTCCTCCAATCTGGATGCCACACTCTTCAACAAGTCCAGCTTTTTGAATGATTCAATATACAGACTGAACAGGTATGAGAAAGGATACAGCCCTGACACATACCTTTCTTGGTCTAGGTACAGGCTTATTATGAGCACAATCAAGTGTTCTGGTATTTCCATGTGACCCACACAGTCAAATGCCTTTCATAGTCAATAAAACAGATAAACATACTCTGGTAGTCTCAATGATATATCCCTGGTACCATGGCCTCTTCGAAATCCAGCCTAAAGTTCTGGCAGTTCTGTAGATGAACTGTTCTAGTTGTTTTTTAGTAACTTCAGCAATATTGCTTGCATGTGCTATTGATGACTCTGTTCAAGAATTTCCAACATTCTGTTAGATCACCTTTTCTGGGAATGAGAAGAAATGTGGATCTCTTCCAGTCAATTGGTGAGGTAGCAGTCTTCCAGTTTTCTTGCTACAGCCTGGTGAGTACATCCATGGTTGCATCTGTTTATCGGAAAATGTCAATTATATTCCATCAATTCCTAGGACCTTATTATTTGCACATACCTTTAATGAAGCTTAACTTTCTTCCTTCATTACCATTGGTTCTTTTTGTTTCATTTTTAGTTTAAATTTATATTTTTATTGTGATTTTAACAAAGGTTTAGAGATTGGGTTTTCATTCATGTATTGTTGCACGTTGCTTCCTCCCCTAGTCCACTTTACAATGCAGTGGTATCTTATACCAGATTGCTGTCATACTACCACTGGATCTTCCTGAAATGGTTCAGTGTTGACCAATCCTTTTTGGTATAGTGACTGTGTATTCCTTCTATCTTCTTTTGATGTTTCCTGGAACAGTCAAGATTTTTCCCATGGCATCCTTCAGAACTGCAACTCAAGGTTTAAATGTGTTTTTAAGTTTGAGAAACGCTGAGTGAGTTCTTCCTTTTTATTTTTTTTTTTACTACAGCTCATTGCAAATTTCGTTGTAATTCTTTGCTTTGTCTTCTGCAGCTGCTCTTTGAAATCTTCTGTTGAACTCTTTTACTTCATTATTTCTTCCCTTTGTTTTGGTTTCTTGGTGTTCTAGTATAATTTTGAGTCTCTTCTGACATCCCTTTTCTTTTCCCATCTTTGTAGTGGCCTTTTGCTGTCTTCATAGATGATACTCTTTGAAGAGTCATTGTAAGAGAGGAAGGCCCCCAACAAGATGGACTGACACCATGACTAGCAATGGGCTCAAGTGTATTGGAGATGGTGAGATGGCACAAAATGGGACAAGGTTCAGATCTGTTGTTCAGAGGGTCACTATGAGTCTTAGTTGACTTGACAGGACATAACAACAATCACCTTTTCTCTCAGGTGTCTGGCAGACCCCAAAGCTAATTTACTGAGCTCAACTCCTAGAAGAAAAAGGATGTCCAGAATTAGGAAATCAAAAGAAGGGGAAAGATGGCAGAAGGAAAGGGAAGAGAAAAAGTCAGACTAGCCATCTAGTTGTCTCAGTACATACATGCAATAATATTATGTATATGAATGCACAGATTCCTAGCAGTTCAAACACACCTAGTGGCTGCAGAGAAGAAAAGGCCTCATGCCTACTGATGTGTTTCTGTAAAGGACAAGAAAACCTTATGTCCATCAACAAAAGACTGGATTGAGAAACTATGGTATATTCACAAGATGGAATACAATGTAGCACTCAAGAGCAACAATTCTGAAAAATACTATATGAAAGAGGCCCAAGAGCATTATGTTGCGTGAACTAACTCCAGCACCTAATAACAAGTATTTTGTAAGACCATTATTGTAAAAATAGAAGGATAACCAGTGAAATGTGTATGGATAAACAAAGAGGCAAGGAAAGAGAACAGGTTAGGAAGGAGGAGAAATCAAAGGGTAGTGATGGGTAGAAGGAGGGAGTGAAAAAAAAATGTACATGAGTGGGCAAAAAAAAGAAGGAAAACTTACGGAGCAGATTTCTAACACATGAGGTGATCATCATGATACAGACTTGAAAGCAAAAGCCAATGATGTGAATATACAAC